CCACTTCACCAACAGAGACTGCGACTCGCTCAAGGGGCTCTGCCGCATCATGGGCAACGGCTTTGTGAGTGGGGCGGGCTCAGGCGCGTGGGGGGTGGGGATGGAGGCAGTGATCTACCCACAGCCTGGATCGGGGCTGGGGGTCTCCCCTGGGGTCAGGCGTAGCCCTCATGGACTCTGGGACCCCAGGCATCCTCAATAGAGCACCAGGTGAATGAACTCAGCCTGGGAGACCTCCAGCTTCTGCATCTGTGCCCAGCTGTGGGTAGCCTTGCTGGGGCCCAGGAGCCTGTCGGGGACACACGGCGTATGTCAGGGACCTGGTACATGTGTGTGCTGGGCACAAGCGCCAGCCAGGAGGGAGAGGTGCTCTGGGGCTCAGCCTTCTCATCTGTAAAATGGGGCTAACAGGAGCTGTGCTTCCTGGTGCCACCCGGAGGATAGCTGGAAGAGGGGAGTTTGTATAAAGCGCTTGAAACCGTGGCTTTAGTACCTAGTAGGTGCTGGGTGTACCCAGCTGGTGAGGCTGTGTAGGTGACTGGGGTTCTGGCGCTGCACAGGGCGGAAAGTGGGGGTGTCCGGCTGTGGAAGATGGTGGGTGCTGGGGAGGATGCAGGGATGGGATGGGACCAAGTTGTCTGCCCAGAGTACCTGGCTCTGGGGACTTCCTAGTCCCTGTTTCCCCTTTGGGATATTCTGCCTCTACCCTGTCTCAGCTGCTGCTTGGAGGTGTCGTGGCTTCTGCTAGGGCCTGCTTTCTCCCTCACGGCCTGGCCTAGGGTCTTTCAGCCGAGCCTTCACTGGTGGATGAGGGCTGGCGTGTCCGGGCCCCGAGTTCCCAGTCTGTAGGGGAGGTGGACCTCCACAGTCGCCCCCCCACTCATGGCCCTGGGAGGGTGACTGCGTGGCTCCAGGAAGGCCAGGGACAGGGCCCTGAGTGGGTCCTCCCTGGGCTGGACCGAAGGTCGAGGGGTTAGGCTGGCAGCCTGTTGGGGACTGCACTGCGGCGGTGGGCTGGTGTGGGAAGGGGCGTGGGGTTCTGGGACGGGCACACCCCTTCATCTGGGCACCACGGTCAGGCACATCTGTCAGGCCATTCTCCCACATCCCATCCAAGAGGCAGCAACACTTCATCTGTTGAGCCTTTATGTGGCACTGATTGTGTGCACTATTATCCCATTTTACCAATGAGGAAATGGACTCTGAAAAGCAACAGGTGGCTGGTGTTAGGTCACACAGCTAGGAGGCAGCAGAGTAGGGGGGGCACCGCCTGCACCCTTAACCCCCAGGCCAGGTCACCCTATCAGGTGGGCAGGGAGTGGGAGGTGGTGCCTTCTTGGTGTTCTCACCACAGCCTGGGTGCTGGGCGTCAGGGTGGGGGAGACGCTGATGGGCACTGCATGGGCTCTCAGAGGTCCCACACCGGTGGCCGAGGCCTTGACTGGGGGGGTCTCTGCCTGCTCATGAGCTCCCTTCGCCCCCTCCAGGTGGGGCAGTCCTGGGGTGGTGGGGGCACGGCGGCACCGGGCCGTGCCCTCAGGTCCTGCCCCTTGGCCCCCACAGGCGGGCTGCATGCTGTTCCCCCACATCTCTCCCTGTGAGGTGCGCGTGCTCATGCTCCTGTACTCGTCCAAGAAGAAAATCTTCATGGGCCTCATCCCCTACGACCAGAGTGGCTTCGTCAGCGCCATCCGGCAGGTCATCACCACCCGCAAGCAGGTGTGCCAACCCAGCACAGCCCTTGGGGGGACAGTGCGGAGTTAAGCCCGGCCGCCCAGGTTGTGCAGCCAGACTTGCTGCAGGTGGGGTGTGATGCGATGGCTGGAGCAAGGAGCCGCAGAGGAGCCGAGAGGAGAGGGCGGGTTCCCATCTGGGCTCCACGGAAAAGTGGCCACTGGTGGGGGGCTCTGAAGAGCCAGAGGGTGGGTCTTGGCAGCACGGGTTGGGATGGTCACGAGGCTAGAAGGCCCTGGCCTGTGACCATGTGTCCTGGTTGCGCCTTGCCAGTTGAGGCAGATGCTGTGGGCGCCCAGCTGAGGGCCGGGACCTGTCTCAGTGCATTGGGAGCCTTGGGGGGGGGGCTGTGCGCAGGGGAGGGGCAGGGCCTGTTCCTGGGAGCCTGCTGGGGGTAACTCGGAGGGAGGGCAGGCCCCAGGACAGGCAGGTTTCCTGGGAGCCTGGGTCCCTCTGGCCACCCCCTTCCATTCCCGCAGGCAGTGGGACCTGGTGGCGTCAACGCAGGCCCGGTCCAGATCGTCAACAACAAGTTCCTGGCGTGGAGCGGCGTCATGGAGTGGCAGGAGGTGAGCCCTCGGCAGCCCGGGGACCTGGGACCCCGAGATCCTCATGGCTTATGGCTGGGAGGGGACACGGGAGTTGGGCGCCCAGCCCTGAGGGGCTCCTCTTTGCCTCTCCCACAAAAGCCCAGGCCTGAACCCAACAGCCGGTCCAAGAGGTGGCTGCCGTCCCACGTCTACGTGAACCAGGGAGAAATCCTGTGAGTGCCGGGCTGGGGGCGGAGGTGACATCCAGGGGAGCCGGGGCCTCCTGACCCTTGTCCCCTTGTGCCCCGAAGGAGGACCGAGCAGTGGCCGAGAAAGCTGTGCATGCAGCTCATCCCGCAGCAGCTGCTGGTGAGGGCCTTCCCAAGGGCGGGGCCAGGGCAAGGGCGCCTCTAGGGAGCCTGAGCTGGCTGAGTGGGGGCGGAGCTGCAGCAGGCCCGGGGGTCGCAGGTACCCAGCCTGCTGTTGTGTAGCCACTGAGCAGGGCCACGGCGGCCGTGACCTAGAGGGCTACCAAGAGATCTGAGAGCAGCTTCCCCAGAATTCCAGGGTCGGGCTAGTTGAGGAGGGGGCGTGAGGGGCAGAGATGACATTTCCTGAGCTAGGGGAAGACGTGAGAGCCTCAGTTTGGTCCTGAGCCCAGGGGACCCAGCATGCTTCGAGGGGGAGGCCTTGGTGGCAGAAGCCAGAGCCAGGGGTCCCCTCGCTTCTTCACAGACCACACTGGTGCCACTGTTCCGGAACTCACGCCTGGTGCAGTTCCACTTCACCAAGGACCTGGAGACGCTGAAGAGCCTGTGCCGGATCATGGACAATGGCTTCGTGAGTGGCGCCAGCAGAGGCTGGCAGGGCCTGGCCAGGGCAGAGGGAGGCAGGACCGCTCACGGGCGTGGACGTGGGAGAGGAGCTGAGCGCCATGTCCAGGAAGGCTGGGGAGAGGGTGGCTGGCTCTGGGGGGCTCTGTGCTGTCCCTCTGCACTGGACAGAGGGGCACTGATCCCAGTCGTATGGGGCTGCCCCTGCTCTGCCACGTCAGGGTTGCTCCCACTCCCCAGGGGCAGGTGCCTTAGTCACTCCAGCAGGTTTCCTGATGGAAAAACAGGCCCTGGCAGCTTGTGCCACATCCCAAAGGCCCCTTGCCGGGCAGGGAAGGCTGTCTGTCCCCTAAAGGGCCCCACAGGGTCTGCTGCTCTCTCAGGCTGTTTCTCCATCTGTGAGGTGGGAGGGTTGGAGTTCACCTGCTGATGTCTACTTTCCATTTGGGCCATACCTGTAATATCTGTCTTGAAACTACATTACAATTACCTTCGACTCACTCTGACTGTCACCATTTGTGCATGGAGGGTCTGGGTGTAGATGCTTTTATAGTAAAAAACTTTCAAGACCCCCCTTGGGCCGGGCACGGTGGCTCACGCTTATGATCCCAGCACTTTGGGAGGCAGAGGTGAGTGGATCACCTGAGGTCAGGAGTTTGAGACCAGCCCAATCACCATGGTGAAACCCCAGCTCTACTAAAAATAAAAAAATTAGCTGGGCAGGGTGGTGGGCACCTGTAATCCCAGCTACTTGGGAGGCTGAGGCAGGAGAATCACTTGAACCCGGGAGGCAGAGGTTGCAGTGAGCCGGGATCCTGCCACACCCTCCAGCCTAGGTGACAGTGAGACTCCCATGTACTGCAACCCTCACCTTTGCTGGGCTGGCTGCCGCAGGTCCCTGGGGCTCCTGAGTTGGAGTCGTGGCTGGTTGCTCAGGTGGCGTGGCTTCGGTGAGGTGGCCCCAGACAGCCTGGCCTGCCCAGGAGCTCTGAAATGCAGGTTCCCGGGCCTCTCCCTACAGAGCCTCTTGGCCATGGTGTCCTCATCATCATAACGGGGCCCACCTCTGGGGGTTGAGGGGAGTGTGAGGACAGCAGTTAGGCAGCGCCTGGCCAATGGAGCCCATGGCATGGTGCCCGCCCAGTTGAAGGAGCGCTGGCCACTGTGGTACCATCTGGTGACACCATGCCCTGTGCCTGCCAGGCTGGCTGCGTGCACTTTTCCTACAAAGCGTCGTGCGAGATCCGCGTGCTCATGCTCCTGTACTCCTCGGAGAAGAAAATCTTCATCGGCCTCATCCCCCACGACCAGGGCAACTTCGTCAACGGCATCCGGCGCGTCATTGCCAACCAGCAGCAGGTCCTACAGCGGAACCTGGAGCAGGAGCAGCAGCAGCGAGGGGTGAGGCAGCCGGCCCCGGCCTGCGCAGTTTCTCCCGCCCTTCCCACACACTCACCCCGTCTTTCTCTCCACAGATGGGGGGGTAGCGGCTACCCCAGGCTGGGCCCCTCCAGGAGTCACAGACGAGGCCCCTGCAGAGACTGGTGAGTGGTGACTCTGTCGAGTCCAGGAGGGACCCTGGGCTGTGGGGGTGGGGTTGGGAGAACAGCAGCAGGGTGAATGGAGCAGAGGGGGAGGCACAGTGTTCTCGGTGGTCCCAGGCTTTCTAGGCAGCGCAGTGTCCAGGCCCAGGTGGGGCCTCTGCTCACAGGGATGTGGGGTCAGTGCTTGGGCGCCTGTGGCCAGCAGCCCCCACTGCACCCCTGCCCCTAGGTGACACGCTTCTGAGCAGGGGCCCCTGGGGACTTCGACTGCCCAGCAACATGGAGGATGGCGTCCTGAGGGCTCAAGGACGGTCCCCACCCCTGTATGTCTCCCCAATAAAGCCTTTTAAAAACCTGCCTGCCCCTCTGCTCCCTGCCTGATGCCTGGCAGCCCAGGTGCTCATAGGTGCCAGCCCTGGGTTCAAGGCCAGTGCTGCAGAACCTGAGGCCGGGGTTTTGTCCTTGGGGGTCATGCCAGGTTTTGAACTTAGTCCTGGGTTGGGCTTTGTGGCCTCACCACCCAGGTCTGGGGGGCCACGCAGCCCCCTGCCCTGGCCTGTGCATGCCCCGGTCTGTAAAGTGCCCGTGTCGGATCCCAGCAAAGCTGGAATCCGCTCTGTGGGGGCCCCTCCTTTTGTTACCTGAAAATGTCCCGAAAGCCTCCATCCACGTAACAAACTGCCAGGCCTGGACCCCTTCCCCATGCGACCACCCTCCTCCCAGCAACAGGCCGGCCAGGTTCAAAGACAAACAGCGTTTATTGTGGAGGGAGCTGGGTGGGTCAGCCCTCGGAGAACTGGCAGTACAGCCGCTCCAGCCTTGGCTCCAGGCACAGGCGGAATGGGATCTCCAGGATAGCCGAGAAGCCTTCGGCCAGCGTTGGGGCCTCGAACTGCTTCCTAGCAGTGGTGAGGACAGTGAGGGACAGCCCAGCTTACGGGGTCCAGCCAGCACCCTGCCCCCTGCGGGCCCCAACCCTACCTGTAGCCGTACATGACCATGTCTGACACGGGGGCGTGTGAGGAGTCTGTCATCTCGCGAAACTGGGGGTACAAAGAGGGGGGCAGCAGGCCCAGGGGTCATGGGGAGGGGTGGGTGTGTAGGGGTGCAGCCTGGGGGTGTCTGGGCCAAGCAGGCTCACCCGGTTGTTGTGGCGCGCCTGCTCCAGAGTGGCAGTGAAGAGGAAGCAGCGGCAGGGGACACCCATGGCTTGGGCACACTGGACATACCTGTGGGAGAGGAGCCAGATGTGCAGGCCCCGCCGCAGCCCCCCCACATCCCCCTGCAGTGCACCACGGTTCCACTACCTGGCGCGGCTCGGGGCGTCCGGGTTTGTGTTGTCGACGGCAACCCGTTTCCCTTGCTTCAGGGCCATCTCACAGGCAGTCACACAGCGCTGCCAGGAACCCAGTGTGTCCTGGGGGCACAAGTGATCACAAACGGGGTTGAGGGGGGAGGCAGTGATGGAGGGAAGTGCCCCCAACAAGCTGAGAGATGGAGAAGGAACTGGAGAGACATACCCTGTTCACGTGGACGTATCCGGCTGACACGAGGTGCTCCTTGAGGAAGGAGGACTTCCCAGCTGTGTGGGAAGCAGGTTGGTGGGTGGCCTAGTACCCAGGCGGAACTCAGGGCATCCCGAGGACGGGCTGGGCACTCACCCCCAGGGAATCCCACGGCGACAACCACCTCCGGGCTAGAGCTCAGGAGGGTCCTGGACTCAGGGAGGCAGAGAGGCCCCAAGCGGGAAACGGTCCTCTGGAAGGGGCGGAGATGCGCATGAGACACCATCCGTCCTAGTCCCGGGAGCCCTCCCCACCCCGCACCCCAGGGCCTCACCGGGTCAAAGGCGGGGAGCTCGAAGCCAGCCGCTGGCCACTTCAGGAAGAACTCCTCAGGCGTGGCAAAGGGCAGGCCCAGGTTAAGTGCAAACTGGGGGCGGGGACAGACGTCAGATACCGGCACCCAGGGTCAGGCTGGGGGCAGGGGCGGGGGGCCTCACCAGGCGGTCCGCGCAGGAGAAGTCTTTCTTCTTTCGTCCTGGGGCCCAGTTGGCTGGGCGTCCAGCCGCATCTGGAACACACAAGACACCCCGTCTCCACCAGCTAGCTCGGAGGGAGGGAGGGTCCCAGCCCGCCCTGAGCAGCCTCCAGGCCCTTACCTCCAACGAAGATGCTGTCCGCGATGGCGATGGGCGTGCCCTCGTTGGCCTACAGGAGACGGCAGTGAGGAGGCCCTTCCCATAGCTGTCCACCACAGTGGGATAGGGCTGCTCCGCCTGGTCTGTGCCCCGTATCAGGCCTCCTCTTCTGACCTTCCGTGTCCCCACCTGTGTCCAGCCACTTCGCACCCTCTTCCTGGCCCTCGTGGAAGCCCCATCCCTCCAGGCCTCCTGGCTTCCGCCCCTGCCCGTTCCCCACAAGGCCGCCAGAGGGCGCCTGCCCAGCTTCAGCTCCTGTCATCCCTCAGGGCAAAAGTGATGCCCTCCCTGTAGCCCTGTCCTCTTCCTTCCCTTGCTCAGGGCCAGCTGCATGGGCCTCTGTCCCTAACGAGCCCAGCCTAGGGGCTGCCTCAGGGCCTTTGCACTTGCTGTCACTCCCACGGGGACCACTTTCCCCAGGTGTCCATGTGGCTCCCTCCTTGCCCTGCCTTAGGCCTTTCCAAAGATGTCACCTTCTCAGAGGCCATCCCTGCCCATCAGGGCTGAAACGATGCCTGCTTTCTCCACCTCCTTCCCTCCCGCTGTTTCACACGCTAGTCTGCCCATCGGGTCCCGCTGGACGAGGCCGTCCTGGTCACTGGTATTTTCAGTTCAAGAATGTGCTAAACTTTACAACAAATGCACACACAAACGAAGAAAGAGATAAACAGCTTCTCTCCCCTGATTTAGAACGTTTAGGAGCACTGGCCTCATAAACCATCACCTAGAACGTGACAGCAAGAAACAAGGCGGGACCGAGAGAGGTCAGGAGGAGTGAGGAGGCTGGGACCAGAGGCTTGGAAGTGAGGGGCTGGAGCAGGGGAAAGGAGGGAGGCTGGGCAGGCTGAGAGGCTCACCTGCTCCTGCAGATGGTCCCACATGCCTGTCACTGGCTTCCGGTACAAGCCTGTGTGCGTGGCCACCAGCACCTGTGGATGGGAGGGGCCGCCAGCATCAGCTCCCCCTCAGGCACCTACTGGATGCCACCCCAGCCCTCACCCCGCCAAGCAGAGCTAAAGCATTTGTAGCTGATGATGGGTTCCTATCAGCGTCACCCCTGAGGCCTCCACCCCACCCACCCCGGGGCCTGACACTCTCTCTCTAGATCTCTGTCCTCCCACATAGCCCCTCAGTCTCCCAGCCATACCTGGAAGGGAACCCCCAGCTTCTCCACCACAGCCTCCACCTTGGCCTTGAACTCCTCAGCTGGCAGCTTCCGACGCCCGATGCTCATCTGGTTGGTGAAGATCACTAGCTGGGGAGCAGAGGGTATCACCAGGTGCCCTGCTCACCAGGGCCTGGGCGTGTGCCCATGGAGGTACCTCCTGCATGTACCTTGTAGCCTTTAGCTTCCAGCTCCCGGAGCTTACGTGGAATCTCTGGGTACAAGATCCTAGGGCAGGTAGGAAGCGGCGGGGTTGACCTGGGGCCAGAAGTGAACTCCAGGCCTCACTCACTCCCTTCTTTTGCCTATTATCACCTCCAGTCACTGGGGCCGGTGGGGAAGACCTTCCCAGAGCGTGTGGTGATGAGGGTCCCATCCAGATCAAAGCCAGCCACCTGGTATCACCAAGGAAAGAGGAACACCAGCACTGTGACACCTCTGACCCTCCCCACTCACAGGCTGACTCACACCAACCCTGTGAGGCAGGGTGTTACCACTGCCATCTCACAAATGGGGAAACTGAATCACAGCACCTCCATGTCAGGTATCCGTGATGCCACTGAGTGCAACCAGATATTGTAATGTCACTGTCTCCTGTCACTTCCTATGCCCCCAGCCCCAGGATTCCAGTCTTTAAAATGTGAGTTAATGTCTTGCCCAGCCTCCTCCTTCCCCTGGCCGCCTCCACCTCGGAGGCCTAATAACAGTGAAAACAGGCCGAGTGCAGTGGCTCACGCCTGTAATGCCAGCACTTTGGGATGCTGAGGCTGGTGGATCACGAGGTCAGATAAGGACCTGTTAGCCAGATCCTGGCTAACACGGTGAAAACCTGTCTCTACCAAAAATATAAAAAAATTAGCCAGGCATGGTGGTGGCACACCTGTTGTTCCACCTACTTAGGAGGCTGAGGCAGAATTGCTTGAACACCAGAGGCAAAGGTTGCAGTGAGCCGATAAGACATCACTGCACTCCAGCCTGGGCAACCGAGCAAGACTCCGTCTCAAAAAAAAAAAAAAAAAAAAA